GCTAGGCGTGGTAGATCTCTCTCTCTCTCTTTCTTTCTTTTTTTGATTCAAAAGGGAAGTAATTCCGCACAGCTGAACGAAGTTGGAGGTAGTTAGCAGGCAAATGATATACCCACAGGAGCCAGAGATCGGAAGCTCTTTCCCAAGGACCACACAGGGAATCTGTTCGGCCCTCAGAGTGGGCTCAGATTCTCCTTCAGTCTCCCACTGGGTTGCCAAAGTTACGGAATTGTAGCATCTCTTGAGAGTGCTCATGTGAATTCCGTGAGTTCTCTCCCCCACCGTCTCTTTTTTCACAGTCTCAGTTCAGTAGCACCACAAATTTACTAGGTCCTAATCTCCTGTTAATTCGCCCCACCCAGAGTCAGGTTGTTCTGCTAGGCTCAGGGCCGGTGCAGACCTGAGGTCGCTCTGCTTATGACGTATGTCCAAGATGGTGCCTGCTCTTTGTCTTGCTCGCCTTTGAGAGGTGAGCGGAGAGAGAGAAACCCGTGTCCATACCAGTCACCTTTTTTTTCTTCTCTCTCTCTCTCTCCCTTCTAGTTAGCCTGGTGTTTTCCTCCCCGGGGTCGTTCCCTCTAGTCTCCTCTTTCTGCTTGCCTGCCGGTGTCTGGGGCTATTGAGGTTTGGCTCACCTTGCGTTCCAGCGCTGGTGTGTTGAGTCTGCCACTGGTGTCCCGAACTGTGGGCTCCCACGCTCTCCACGCAGGTCCACTGTGAATCACTTGTTCCGGAAGAGTTTCTTCTGCTGTTTCTTCCCCTACTCTTCCTTGAACCTGCAGTATCTCCACTTTTATTAAACTGTCTCTCTCCGGACTATCAGTGTGCTCCCTTCCTATTCCGCCATCTTGCCACCTCTCCGCCTGTAGGGTTTCTGATGAGAAGTCAGCTGTGAGTCTGATTGGAGATCCTCTGAGAGTAATGTGACATTTCTCTCTTGCACATTTTAGGATCTTTTCTTCATGTTTCACTGTGGTGAGTTTAATTACAACGTGTTGTGATGAGGATCTCTTTTGGTCAAGTTTATTAAGGGTTCTATGAGCTTCCTGTACTAGTATGTCTCTGTCCTTCTCCAAATCTGGGAAATTTTCTGCTAATATCTCACTAAAAGGGTTTCTAATCCTTTCTCCCTCTCCATGCCTTCAGGAACTCCAAGAACCCGAATGTTGGGTTTTTTAATAGTATCCTGAAGATTCCTGACAATATGTTTTAGATTTCTAATTTCCTCTTCTTTTCTTTGGTTTGATTCTATATTTTCCTGTGCTCTGTCTTCTAAGTCTGATATTCTCTCTTCTGCTTCAGCCATTCTGTTTTTAAGGCTTTCTAATGTGTTTGTCATTTGATCTATTGAATTCTTCACTTCATTATGATTTGTCGTCACTATCACAGTTTCCTGTTGTACTAGTTGTTTCATTTCATTTTGATTCCTCCTTAATATTTCATTTTCACGAGAGAGATTTTCTATCTTGTCCATTAAGGATTTCTGGAGTTCGAGAATTTGTTTTTGATAACTTCTTAATGTTCTTATCAATTTTTTGAGATCTGCTTCTTGCATTTCTTCTATCTCATCATCTTCATAATCTTGAATTGGGGTGTCTATTTCATTTGAGGGCATCATAGTGTCTTCATTGTTCTTGTTACCTCGGCTTCTGCATTTGTTTGTCATATTGGAGATATTCTTTGTTTTTTTCTCATTATACTGTGACTCTAGATTAAGAGGACTGTCTGTTTTTGATGGATCCTTAGAGGCTGTGATGGGTATAGCCAGAGAACTCTGGTTCTACAGGGTTAAGGGTGTGCCAACGGTGATTCACCCAGATTGTTCTCTCTCTCTCTCTCTCTCTCTCTCTCTCTTTTTGACTCAGTTGGGAAGTAATTCCACACAGCTAAGTGAAATTGAGAGTAGTTGATGTATGAAATCTGGCCCCTGTGGGTATTCGTTTGCTTACCAGAGTCAGGTTTTTCTGCTTGGCTAATGAGAGACACCTACTTTACATATGCAAAATGGCACACACCACTTTACTTACTTAAAATGGCGCCTGCCCTTTGTCTTGCTCGGCTTTGTAAGGTGAGTGGAGAGAGAGGCTAAATGTCCATGCCAGTTCCCCTTATTTATGCGATTTTTTCTCTCCTCCAGCCAGCCTGGTGAACTTTCCCCAATGGGGTTTCAGGCCTCATTCTCTGCAGGCTTTTTCTGCCTTTCCCTGCCAATGTCTCAGGTTACTGAGAGGTTTTTAGTTCACCTCCCCTTCCAGCACTGCCACGCAGACTCTGCGGCTCCAGCGGGTCCGGCGGGTCCGGCTGCTCCGGCAGGTCCGGTGGCCCTGGCGGCTCCTGCAGCTCAGCTTCCATGCAGTGGGCGACCTTGCTCTCCCCTTAGGTCCTCTGAGTCACAGCCACTAGATCCAGAAGAGTTTCCTCTGCAGTTTTTCCCTGATCCTTTTCCTGAGGCTACTGTAACTCCACTTTATTAAACTATCTTTTCCCGGACTGTCGGTGCGCGCCCTAACTATTCCGCCATCTTCATTATATTTATATTTTTGTACAATCCAGTTTTTTTTTCTTTTTTTTTCTTTTTTTTATTATTTTTTTTATTTTTTGACAGGCAGAGTGGACAGTGAGAGAGAGAGACAGAGAGAAAGGTCTTCCTTTGCCGTTGGTTCACCCTCCAATGGCCGCCGCGGCCAGCGCGCTGTGGCCGGCGCACCGCGCTGATCCGATGGCAGGAGCCAGGAGCCAGGTGCTTTTCCTGGTCTCCCATGGGGTGCAGGGCCCAAGCACCTGGGCCATCCTCCACTGCACTCCCTGGCCACAGCAGAGAGCTGGCCTGGAAGAGGGGCAACCGGGACAGAATCCGGCGCCCCGCCCGGGACTAGAACCCGGTGTGCCGGCGCTGCAAGGCGGAGGATTAGCCTAGTGAGCCGCGGCGCCGGCCTTGTACAATCCAGTTTTAAAACAGAGTTGCAAAAAGGAGGATGGGTACCACACTGATATCTAGCAGGTAACAAGAGTTCCAATGAGCACTGCCTATATAGTGTTTAACTCACAGAACTTGTGGAGACAATGTTGTCTGATATTCTAAAGCACTTCCCCAATTGTTATTGTGTTTGGATCTCATTTCAATAGACCCCACTATGACATTTGTCCACCATTTGGTCTATCTTAGTTTCTTCCATTTATTTATTTATTTATTTTTGACAGGTAGAGTAGGCAGTGAGAGAGAGACAGAGAGAAAGGTCTTCCTTCCATTGGTTCACCTCCCAATGGCCGCTGCAGCTGGCGTGCTGTGGCCAGCACACCTCACTGATCCAAAGCCAGGAACCAAGTGCTTCTCCTGGTCTCACATGCAGGTGCAGGGCCCAAGGACTTGGGCCATCCTCCACTGCACTTCTGGGCCACAGCAGAGAGCTGGACTGGAAGAGGAGCAACTGGGACAGAACCTGTGCCTTGACTGGGACTAGAACCTGGTGTGCCGGTGCCACAGGTGGAGGATTAGCCTTTTGAGCTGCAGCACCAGCCTCCTCCCTTTGTTTTAAAAATACTTGCTTATTTATTTGAAAGGCAGAGTTATAGTTGGGGAGAGGGAGAGAAGGTAGAGATGTCTTCTGTATGCTACTCTCCAAATTGCTGCAATGGCTGGCGCTGGACTGGGCCAAAGCCAGTAGCCAGGAGCTCTGTCTGGGTCTCCCACCTATGGGTAGGAAGGGCCCATGTACTTGAGCATTCTTCCACTGCCTTTCCAAGTGCATTATAAGGGAGCTGGATTGGAAGTTGTGTAGCTGGGACTGTGACTGGTGCTCATGTGGGATGCTGACACCACAAGTGGCTGCTTAACCTGCTGTGCCACATGCCATGCCAGGGTCTTCTCTTTTTAAGGTCTGTGATCTGTTATGAAACATGTAGGCAAGGCCGGCGCCGTGGCTTGATAGGCTAATCCTCTGCCTTGCGGCACCGGCACACCAGGTTCTAGTCCTGGTTGGGGCTCCGGATTCTGTCCCGGTTGCCCCTCTTCCAGGCCAGCTCTCTGCTATGGCCCAGGAGTGCAGTGGAGGATGGCCCAAGTGCTTGGGCCCTGCACCCCATGGGAGACCGGGAGAAGCACCTGGCTCCTGCATTTGGATCAGCGCGGTGCGCCGGCCACAGCGCGCTGACTGTGGCGGCCATTGGAGGGTGAACCAACGGCAAAGGCAGACCTTTCTCTCTGTCTCTCTCTCACTGTCCACTCTGCCTGTCAAAAAAAAGAGAAAGAAACATGTAGGCTGTCTATGTGTGTTCCCAGTAACAGCTGTTGGAATGTGCAGAAATATTCCCAGATAGCTACATTGGGCTACATGATCAGTGAGCCTATTTTATATTTGTGACAGTGTTTGGATCTCTGTGGGCTTGGGAATTTCCAGGAACAGACTTGGATGAGAGAACTCCCCTGTAATGGTGATGAATAATACATGACTGGGTGATATCTGGAAACTGTAGTTCAGAACATCAAAACTGCAACCACACATGTAGGTATGCATATTGGCTATTCTATACAGTATCTAGTGGGCTTAGCTGCATTTTTGTGGCTTGGATTTCTCCATCTGTGGGCTAGAATTAGTAAATGATAAAAAATGAGATTTGAATTAGAGAAGATAAGATGTGTAATTTAATTGATAAAGTTACCACTGAAAAGTGTGCTGAGTGATCTTGGCACTCATCTAGGGGAAATATACACATAGACACACATTCACACATTCACAAACATGTCTCACTGTATAACACATACACTCCCCACTCTGGTGAACACAAATTCACACCATGAGAGGAAACACAGCTGATTTCAGGGACTGCAGACACATAGAGTGTTACCTGCAACCAGTTTCTTTGGCTACATTCCCGCCATCCTCATTCCCACTGAAGACTGTGACCTTGGTTTTTCCCCAGATAAAAGCCAGCAAATAAGTATCATATTCTAATCTATATCATGTATTCACGCAGTGAGTGAATGTAAAATGCATACATACCATTTCTTCTTGTTCTTGGGACCACCTACAATAAAGAAAACACTGTGAGAACCAGAAATTCTGGACTCTGTTTGCCATGGTCTTTTGTTCTCTTGGTGACTCTAAGTAACCATCTGGGAACCAGTAGACAAGTCAAATAATACAAAACTAGAGGAGAGGACAGTAGTGGAAAGGGCATGCAATTTTCCTATGATATGATAGTCAAACTATGATAGGTATGATAGGTATGATAGTCAAAGGGCATGTTGGCAGGCAACCACAAAATTGTTAAAGAGGAAAAGTTACTAAAGAAAAGGTTCCCAATGGAAGGAGGGAGGGAGAGGGAAAGGGGAGGGTTGTGGGTGGGAGAGAAGTTATGGGGGAGGGAGCCATTGTAATCCATAAGCTGTACTTTGGAAATTTATATTCATTAAATAAAAGTAAAAAAAAACATACACACAAAAAGAAAAGGTTCCCAAATACAAAAAGTATGACCCGACAATGTCAATGATGCTTGTTCTCTTGAACCAGGAATCAGTTGGTAAGATGCTCCTCTTCCACCTCCACTGCAGGTAAACACTACCTACCTTACAAGGTGCACACAAACAGTTTTTGCTTATCTGATATCAATTTAAAAATAAAGAAGAAAATAATTTCTATCTTAGGCAAATAAAGGCTATCTTACCTTGCCAATTTTCTCATTTGCTTTCTTTTTTGCATCCTCATTTCCCTCATCTTGTGGTAAAGCTGGAAAGATGCAGAATAACTGAGTACCTAGTGGAGTCACTCACTAATTACTCAGGAACTTGCTTTATATGGATAATAGACTAGAATTTAAAGATGTATTTTTAAGAAAGATTTATTTATTTATTGTTTTATAAATTATTATCCTTCTTTGAATATTTTAAAAAATTTGTTATACAAGTTCCATGTATTTCATATGTAGAGATTTAGGAACACAGTGATACTTCCTACCCTAAACTCCCTTCCATCCATGCTCCAACATTTCTTTCTCTTCCCTCTCATATTCTCACTCTTTTGAAAAGATTTATTTTATTTACTTGAAAGAGTTACACAGAGAGGTAGAGACTGAGAGAGAGAGAGAGTCTTCCATCTGCCTGTTCACTCCCCAAATGGCCGCAATGGCCAAGTTGAGCTGATCTGAAGCCAGGAGCCAGGAGCTTCTTCTGGGTCTCCTACATGGATACATCTTTTGTTATTTTCCCAGACATATTATCTGGGAGCTGGATTGGAAGTGGAGCAGCCAGGACTTGAACCGGCGCCCATATAGGATGCTGGTGCTGCAGGCCGGGGTTTTAACCCACTGTGCCACAGCACCAGCCCCATCTCACACTTAATTTTTACAAAGATCTATTTATTTATTTTGAGAGAGGTGGAGAAATAGAAAGAAAGATAGGGGAGAGAGAGAGGGAGAGAGGGAGAGAGGGAAAGAGGGAGAGAGGGAGAAGGGGAGAAAGGGAGGGAGAGGGAGAGGGAGAGGGAGAGAGAGAGAGAGAGAGAGAGAGAAACTATCTTCCGTCTGTTGGCAAGAAGATGGCCACAAAGGCCAGGACTGGGCCAAACTAAAGTCAGGAGCCAGGAGCTTTACTATGGTCTCTCATATGGGTGGCAGGGACCCAAACACTAAGATCGTTCATTCTCCCATTGCTTTCGTCAGGCCATTATTTGGGAGCTTGATTGGAACTGGAGCAGCCAGCACATGAACAGGCATGCATGGAGCATGCTGGCATTACAGGTGGCAGCTTTATCCGCTATGCCACAATGCTGGCCCAAAAGGGTGGTTTTTTTTTAACAGGCAAGAATCAGCTGCTGCTGAACCATCATTCATGGTAGGTAGATAAAGAGAGGAGCAGGAAGCAAATGAAAAAGGAAACTTTTGATTTTCCAAACAGTGGCTACTCAAAGGAACATGGAATAATCTGAAACTGGGGTAACATTACAATAATGCTATGATTCAACGACAGAATCCTACCAATTATTCAGGCTGATTAATGTTCAATAATATTGCCTCTTTGCACATTTGCCAAGTCTATTTCAATACCTATAGGTACACATGTGTTATTTGTGAATTTATTGTGTCAGTTATAGGATCTGCCATCAATTATAAGCAACGTTATATTGATAAAAATATATCCTGTAACAGGAACAAAATTAAATTTATTTTATTCACAATTTTTAGTAATAATAATCAATAATTAAAGAGTCAACAATATTGAAATCTTTAGAAATAATCGATAAAAGTCAAGGATGTTTTTCCTTCTACTCCCCCTTTCCTATGTCATATGTTCTTTTTTTAAAGATTTATTTATTTATTTGAAAGACAGTGTTAGGAAGAGAAAGAGAGGCAGAGAGAGAAGAGAGAGAAAGAGAGAGAGAGAGAGAGAGAGAGAGAGAGAGAGTCTTCCATCCACTGGTTCACTCCCCAGTTGGCCACAATGGCTGGAGCTGCGCCAATCTGAAGCCAGGAGCCTGGAGCTTCTTCCAGGTCTCTCACGTGGTTGCAGGGGTTCAAGGACTTGGTCCATGTTCTACTGCTTTCCCAGGCCATAGCAGGGAGCTGGATCAAAAGTGGAACAACCGGGACATGAACTGGTGCCCATATGGGATGCCTGCACTGCAGGCGTGGCTTTACTTGCTATGCCAGAGTACCGGCCCCATATGTTTCTTTTTAAATATTTATTTATTTGAAATTAAGAGCAAGAATGAGAGCAAGAATTAGGGTGAGAATGAGAGTGAGTGAGTGAGTGAGTGAGCAAGAGAGGGCTATCTTTCATCTGCTGTTTCACACAGCAAATGGCTACAAAAGCCAAGGCTGGGCCAGGCTGAAGCCAGGAGCCAGGAACTCCAGCCAGATCTACAATGAAGGTGGGAAGGTTCCAAACATGTAGGATATCTTCCAATGCCTTCCCAAGAACATTAGCTGGAAATTAGATGGAAAGCTGAGCATCTGGGACTGGACTCAGTGCTCCTATATGGGATACCAGTGTTGTGATGGCTTAATCCTCTGTACACACCACTGGCCCCTGTGCCATGTGTTCTACTGTATGAGGAGGCTGTTTATGCTCAGAGAGGGAACAAACAGTGAGATGTGGCATAGGGAGCTGGATCCTATTGAGCACTGAGGCTCTGTTGCCCAGCTATCACAAGAGTTACGAGGAGCTTGATGCATAAAGACAGAAAGCAAAGTGGTACTCTCCAGTAATGCTTGCCATTTTCCCCAATGTGTGTAGTTCACAGGATTTCAGCATCCCTACTCATCGTTTCTTCCATGCCTTCAAATGTCACTTCTTAACAACTTTGGGATAGATGCTAATGAGTGAGCCACACTGAAGGGGTTTGAGTGATTTGTCAAGTCGTGTTTTCCACCTGTCAGTACCTACAAACTATCTAAAAGCATCAGGGCTTTATATATGCATTTTATATATTTGCACAATATTCTGAAAATGTAGTGATGATGGTGATGCCTGCCCTGGCATTAACACTGAGTAACACTCAGTAACACTGAGAAGGCTTTATAATGTGAATAGAGGGTAAAGTCTATATGTTTGGACAATTCCAGGTATCTATACAGACTTGGAACCCTTGTCCATGGTGAATTCCAATGCAATGCCACAGCTGAGTGATGAAGGCAGGTAAGTAATTCAGAGTGTCAGCACTGGGGATACATGCTTAGATTCTTTTGTACCTGGGAGCTCATGAGCTTGTGCACATTATCTGACTTCTTCTTAATCCAGGTGGTGGAGTTTTCAAAGAAAGCATGCCTTGTGTTCGTGGTGAGTGTTGAGTGATTTCATATCTATAAAGTGAGCATTGTAAAATCCCATGGGGGTAAATTCTTGGTGAAATGGCCTGCCTCTGCTCTCACAGCTTGACAGAACTCAGAGACTCTTCTTGTGTAGACATTATATACATACACAATATGCTTCCTTAAAAACAGAAATATTAATATCTCAGAAGGAGATATTAAGGTGAGATTCATGACAATGATCATACTATGAGAGAAAGAAGGACCTATTGTCATGCACACGGTATAATTCAGTGAATCAATATTTATAAGTATATGACAAATGTTATGGTATCCATACAATTTTTATACTCGATATACCAACTTCCACAAATAAGAAAAAAAATGTGATATTTGTCTTTTTGGGTCTGGCTTATTTCAGTTAGTATAATGATCTCTATTTCCATGTATTTTGTTGCAAATTTCAGGTTTTCATTCTTTTTTGTGGCTGGGTAATATTCCATTGTGTATATATACCATGCTTTCTTTATCCAGTCACTAGTGAATGGACATCCAGGTTGATTTCATAGCTTTACTATTGTGAATTTAGCTGAAGGTATCTCTTTCATATGCTTATTTTACTTCTTTGGGATATATTCCCAAGAGTGAGTTAGATGGATAATATGATAGATCCATTTTTAGTTTCCTAAGGAATCTCCATGCTATTTTCTATAATGTTTGAACCAATTTGTATTCACATCCACATTGTATTAGGGCACTCTTTTCTCTGTTATTTTTGATTTTTGGATAGCAGCCATTCTAACTGGAGCTAGGTGATGGTGTTCTACCTTTTGGTTTTTATTTGCAATTCCTTGATGGCTAGTGATCTTGAGCATTTTTTCAAGTTTATATTGTATATTTGTATTTATTCCTTTGAAAAAATCTATTCATACTCTTTCTCATTTCTTCACTGGATTGTTGGTTTTGTTCTCAAGTTTCTTGTACTACTTAAGTATTCTGGATATTAATGTTTTATCAGATGCATAGTTTGAAATTATTTTCTCCTAATCTGTCAGTTGTCTCTTGAATTTGTTAATTGCTTCTTTTGCTGTGCAGAAGCTTCTTAGCTTGATGCTATTCCACTTATCTATTTTTGCTTTTATTGCCTTTGTTAATTGTATTTTTCAATAATCTTGCAATCATTCTTTTGAATTCTTTTTCAGGCATTTTGTCAATCTCTGTTCTCAGTTCAATGTAAATGTGTTATTGTGTTCCTTTTGGGGAATCCTATTGACTCCCTTCACATTTTTTTGTGTTTCTACATTGATTTTTATCCATCTGATCTTTTCTTTCTATAATATCCTATAGGATGGTTTTAGTTGATTGAAGGCTTTATTCCTGGAGATGTGTCTGTAGTAGCATTCTTTATCTTTAGTGCTGGTTAGATTTTGTAGTACAATCTCCTCATGCCTTTATTTGCTAATGGTGATGAAAGTCACATTAGGGGCCTGGGCTGTTCCTATGGTACAGTGTGGTCATTGAGACTGCTGTTATTGCAGGTATCCAATCGTCTCTGGAGGGAGGGACTGGGGTGATGTGCTTCATGGGTATTGGGATCAATGCTTGCTGATGTTCTGGGTGTGCCTGGCACATGGATTGCCACAAAGTTTCCACATCAGGTACTAGGGTTGCAAGATCAGTGTTGGTTAAGTGGGTGCATGGAATTAGCGACACCTAGCCACTGCTCCAAGTTCCAGAGCTTTGAAAGTTGCACTAATGCTGAGTGGAGAAGGTGGAACCAACAGATGCTGTAAAAGAGAGTAATTGCATCTGTGAGTTTTCCCCCAGAAATTTTTTGTTTAATGTATACAAACTTCATTCACTTCATAAATACAAATTCAGGAACACAGTGAACTTTCACTCTATAGTCTCTCCCATCCAGACTCCCACACTTATTCTTCCTCCTTCTCATGTTTCCATTATTATATTTTACTAAGATCTA